CTGCCACTGATAGTGGCAGGAGGCCAAGTGGCTTGTCGTGCTCATCATGTTAGTGCCGCTGCTTGTGCAATCGGTGCACCGAGCCATGCAGCCTTCTACTGAGAGCAGTGGCACCAGCATGATCAGTGTGACAAGCCATGTGGTCTTTTGCTTTGAGTGGAGGCAGCAGCGCCACAGAAGAAGTGGCCACAGAAGTCAGGCAGTGGCACGATAGGTGTCAGGGCATGGGAAGCCTGGCTGCAGTGTTCCTAAGGTAAGCAGGTGCAGGGCACATAGGGCAGCTCCACGCCCAACCCCCACCCTATCTTGATTTTTACACATGTGCCTTGCCCCAAAACTAGGACTTATTTTGGGAGGTAGGGCTTATATATGTGTAAAAATCAAGCTAGGACTTTTGGGGGGTAGGGCTTTTATATGTGTAAAAATCAAGCTAGGACTTATTTTTGGGATAGGTCTTATTTTTGGGGAAACGCAATAGTCTGCGAGAAAGTTGCAGTTTGAAAACAAACACAAGGTGTTCTGTGTAACATAGCAATAATACTAGACCAGTGGTTCTCAACCTGTGGGTCGGGACCCCATTTGGGGTGGAACGACCATTTCACGGGGGTCGCCAAACAACGCAGTCTGCCATTTTTTCCCCTTTTCCTTAGCTGTGCTACTCTCTTTTATTCTATTGGCTTTTGAAAGCCAATAGAATAGACTCTCTTGAATAGAGTCTAATTCTATTGGCTTTCAAAAGCCAATAGGAATTGTCCAGGCTGTCTCTGCCCTGCTGAACCCACCAAAAGTCCCATTCTGCAAACGGTGGTGCACCAGTCGACTTACGACCGGTTGAGTAGTCCTCGACTTACGACCTGTTGGGGGTCGCGGCATTAAAAAGGTTGAGAACCACTGTACTAGACAATAGGAAAAGAAATGAAAGAATGCATGATTAAAGCCACACATTCATTGATTGATTTGTTAAATTTATATAACATGTTTTCATTCAGGAACTCAAAGTGGCATATGTAGATGTTCCTCTTCTTCATTTTACCTATAAGAACCACTCCCAAAGATGCTTTTTCAAAAGGCAACTGGGCTTTTTTGTTTGTTTTTTCTTGAAGACATTTCGCTTCTCATCCAAGAAGCTTGTTCAGGAGCAATGGTGGTGCAGTGGTTAGAATGCAGTATTGCAGGCTAATTCTGCCAACTGCCAGCAGTTTGAGTATCACTGGCTCAAGGTTGAGTCAACCTTCCATCCTTCCAAGGTTGGTAAAATGAGGACCCAGATTGTTGGGGGCAATATGCTGACTCTGTAAACTGAAAAGGGCTGTAAAGCAACGTGAAGCAGTATATAAGTCTACGTCCTATTGTTATGAGAAGCAAAACATTTTCAAGAAACAAAGAAAGTCCAGTTGCCTTTTGAAAAAACACCTTTGGGACAACCATGACCTGGATGACTGAGAATTTTCATAGACATAAGAATTACTCTGTCAGATGGGTTGGGTCCCAAGCTCAATCAAGGAGTTCCATGTTTGAGAATGAATTTCCCATTCTTACTGACATCTTAAGCACTGTACCCCTCTACCCTTGTGGTTAACTGAATGCCTTCAACCCTTGATTTTTCAGTCCATGTTTTTACTGTGCAAAGGATTGAGCAATGCTGTTATTTATTTCATTGTCTTTACACAAGATTAACTATTTAGTAATGTCCTCATCTTCTCACCAAAAGTCTTGGATTTGAACCTCGGTTGTCCACTTAGTAGGCCTCACTCTGTCATACTTTTTCTATGTGAAATTCAGGAAATAATTACTTAAATGGCAGCAATCTTTCAGCATCTTGCTGACTGCTTTGTTAGTGAGCGACATTCAGTTATATTCAATTTCACCTAGAGGGTGTGATTTCAACAGCTTCTACGGGGCCTGTTTAGACTTCAAACTCAGCTCCATGGGGAGAGCTGCCAGAAGGCACAGGCACCACATAATTCCCACATAGGTTCTCAAAATAACTATTGAGAATCTGTCCTCTCTTCTGTGTGCAGGTTTCACTCGTTCTTTGGCTAATAGATATTGAACGTGTGTTTCAAAGTAAAAATAACATCACAGCATTTGATAATCCAATCTCCTTTAAGATTAAAAGGGAGGGAGGGAGAAAGAGAGAGGAGAAAATAAGCCTCTGCTGAGTCTTTGAAATGCTTAGAATGATGGGATGATGCTCCAAAGTCTCTGAAGCTAAACTCTTCTTTTGACACATTTTTCCCCTAAAACAGGGGTCCTCAAACTTGGCGACTTTAAGGAATTCTGGGAGTTGAAGTCCACAAGTCTTAAAGTCGCCAAGTTTCAAGACCCCTTGTCCTATAAAGTTATAAAAGAATAATGATGAAATGATGTCAACTTTTTATGTGGGGGGATGGGAGGAATCATCAAACAACACAATAACACAAAAGAACAATCTTTATTAATGCATGATCATGTCAAGCCAGAAAACCTATGGGCAGTTTTATTTACTTTTGTTGAGAAGAGTTGATAGCTTCATCTTTTTCTGAAACTTCATTTGTATGGTGTGAGCAGAGGTATGTATGAGAATGGCTGCATTGGTTCCTAGGATCACATCCAGTCTAGCACACTTTTTCCTACAGGGACTAACCATAAGCAGCAGTTCTGCCTCTTTTACTAGATGCAACATGCAGCTATCCTAACCAATAACTGTTGTTATAGTTAAACTTCATAGCTTTGTTTTCTTGCCCTTTTTCAAAGCTGTCCCCCAGGAGGTTTGATTGTGTTCGGTAAGACTGGTCTCATTGCAAAAATATCTCCATCTTTTTTCTGAAGCTTTTCTAGCTTCAGAAAGCCATTTTATGTGGATAGTGAAAAAGGAGAGCCTCTGAAGATAGAATAAAGTGCCACCAGGACAACATTCTCCCTTTTGAAATCCCTTGACTCCAACCTGTGCAAAACTGTGCAAAGAATGTACAACCAGTCTCCTCTCAGTTATATGTCTTGTGGCTTTGTTCACATGATATGTAATTGAAAAAGATTCCTTTAAACCAGGATTCCCTTAAACTATAGTAGCCCCTCTGGAAACCTTTGGAGGCCATACATGGGATCTCATCTCTGTGGCCCAAATATAGGCTGAGCAGCTGGGGAGAGGACAACAATGAATGGGTTTCTGGTGGTCTGGGCAGCAGATAGCATGGCCAAGGGCTAGAAGCTTAGATTGTCCACAAATGCCATACCTTAGATCAGGGGTCTTCAAACCTGGCCCTTTTATGACTTGTGGACTTCAACTTCCAGAATTCCTCAGCCAGCATGCCTGGCTGAGGAATTCTGGGAGTTGATATCCACAAGTCATAAAAGGGCCAAGTTTGAAGACCTCTGCCTTAGATCTTTGAAACCAGTCTGATGTCAATCTGAAGGCAGACAAAATGGCAGTCAGGGATGCTGGTAGAAGAAGACAGAGGATCTGGCAAGCAAATAGTTGATCAGAGAAAGGACAGAAACTTGCGAAGTGTCTACATGGGAAGTGCTAACCTCCATAAACCTGGGCACAGTTTTTGACTGACCAGAGTAACATTGTGCTTTAAGAAGGAAAGCTGTGCTTTAATGGGAAACACTGAGAGGGTTCATAAGAGAGCAGTGGGGTAAAAAAAATTGTAGCGCAAACAAGACAAAACATTAATATGGATTTTTGGGAGAATTAGGATAAGTGTTCAATTTTGTAGAAGTTCAAATTAGGCAAGGACATTTGAAACAAACTGTTGTTCTTTGTGCAGTATTGTGGAATCTATCCAGCGACTTAAAATATAATTTATTTCTTTATTTATTTTTATTTTATTTATTTATTAAATTTATTGGCCCTCCATCTTATCCAGGGGTCTTCAAACATGCCTTTTTATGACTTGTGGACTTCAGCTCCCAGAATTCCTCAGCCAGCGTGTCTGGCTGAGGAATTCTGGGAGTTGAAGTCCACAAGTCATAAAAGAGCCAAGTTTGAAGACCCCTGATCTTATCACATGGTAACTCTGGGCAGCTTACAATGCAATAATATTTTCTGCACTACTACTTTCTTCACTGGCTTCAAATATTTTATCATAAAGAGTTCTGATGCTCAGGACAGAAGCCTCCAGCCTCCAATTGATTCCCACACAGGGTGAATGAGATGCTAATCTAGCCTTGTACTGTTACTAAGAACTGCATGCAAGAGAATAAGTTCAGGATTAATGCAGTTCTGAAGATTTTCTCTGGAGGCATGGAATAAGACTAAGCATTGAACAGGGTACCTAATTATATTTTACTTGTACAAGATTGCATGTAAATATTGAAGTGCAGTTGCAAAAACAATATTGCATTTGTTTTTGTTTTGGGGTATAATTACAAACTTCAGTATTAACCAATTAAAGCACTCTGGGATCCAGACTAGAAAATATATAGTGTCAGGAGTAGGTAGATAATTAAGAAGCGGATTTCAGAGCACTCATCTTCACTTCTGATAAATATATTGACTTCCAAAATAATGTCACTGTCAGTGAACTCCTTTGTTGTGTCAAGGCAAACTTTAATTGCTTCATTTACACCCAAAGGAAACCTTTTACTTCTGCTTTTGATTTATCTCTGTTGAAAGACTGCATACTAATCATACTGGATGAAAATCAATATAAATTTCACTTGAATGTAAAAGAGTCAAGTGATCATCACTGTTTTTGGTACTGTTGGTGTATTGATAAATATGGCACAAGACTGCATGGGAAAAAGGAGTATATACCTATACCAGACCAAAGAAACGCAAGAGAATGCATCAATTACTAACCCAGTGCATGTATTCCTCCTGACTGACTTTCTTTCTTTCTTTCTTTCTTTCTTTCTTTCTTTCTTTCTTTCTTTCTTTCTTTCTTTCTTTCTTTCTCTCTCTCTCTCTCTCTAGTTCTTTCGTTCTTTTTTTCTTTCAACAGGATCTACATGGCTGTCTCTCATATGATGACTCTAGACGGTTTACCATAAAATGACATACACATGTACTGTATTCATCACAAGGTAAACATGTTATGTAATATCTGTGTGCTCTATCTCTATCATCTATCTATCTATCTATCTATCTATCTATCTATCTATCTATCTACATAGTGGTTTTGGGTAACCACTATTAATGGAATTTCATTTTGATCAGAACTGAGTGACAAGGTTTCAAATATCTGTTTATAAATGAGGAGAGATTTATTTTGCTTTAGTTCATAGAAAAGTGATAAGTTAGAATACAAAATTGATTTATTTGATTCAGGTTAAAATAAATAAGTTACAATTTTTGGTTCTTAATAGACTTTTCCTGATTAGAACTGAATTATGAGTTTTTACAATCTGATTATTGATAAGGAATAAGATATCAGAAGAAGAGATTTTAAACACTGAAATACTAGAGAAGGAGTTATATTATTGAAGTTGTTTATCTTTATCTGGAGGGAGGGGAAAATCATCTTTTATATATCTTTTTTCTTTATTTTTTCATTTTCTTTTTTCTATCTCTTTGCACTTCTATTTTCTTGACTTTACCTTTTATATTTTTTCAATTTGTATTACTCTTTCATCTTTGTATTTGCTAACTTTAATAAAATGATTTCAAAATAGGAAAGGGAGTGAATATGTTATTCCCATAATTTTTAAAATTAACAGTGGATATATCATGACAGGATTGGAAGAGATGACAGCATAAATCAAAACTAGGCTGACAAAATCAGATATGCAGGAAACTTCACTTTGTTAGCTGAAAGTATAGACGATTTTGAACAACGTCTTGTGAAATAAAAATGTAAAGTGAAAAATAACCCAATTTAATGTTAAGTATTAAGAAGACAAACACAATGTTAACAGTATGCTTAGTAAACTTATATTTGACAATGAAATATAGATAGTTTTGTTGACTTTGGCTTCAAAATAGATAAAGATGGGAGTGTGCTGGAGAAATAAATAGCACATTAATCTTTGGGAATAAAGCAATGACAATTTTAGGTAAGAGCAGGAAGGATAAAGAATTTTCAGTGTCAAAAACATCAGAATAATTAAAGTCATAGTTTTCCAGTGGTAATATACAACTGTGAAAGCTGGACCCTGAGAAAGAACAGGAGAAAGAAGATGGATGCAGTCTTGGAGATATTTACTCAAACTACCATGAAGTGCAAGCAACTAGCAGTAATCAATTTTGGATCAAATAAAGGCTGGCTGCTCACTTAAAGCTGTGATCAGCAAGCAGAAACGTCCCTACTCACACTAGTTGATGTGAGAAGATGACGGACTAGGGAAAAAGATATTTTCTTTTGGCAGGAATTAGGGAAAGTGGAAGAAAAGGCAGGCAATGAATAATGTGAATGGACAAAATCAAACAGATTACTGAAATGTTACTACCCAAGACAGGGCAAAAAGATGAGCATTGACCACAAAATCCAATCTGGTTTGATGACAACTAACTAACAATTCTTTCTACCTTCTTCTGATAATTACCTACTTATCATTTATGACAAAGAGAAATTAGGCATATTAGATACATTCTTCTATTGACACCTTACTACATATTACAAATTATATGATACAACTCTCCGTGAACTGTGCTATTTCTGAATGATGTTTGCCTATGCGATAAAGAGAAATATGATTTTGCATGCCAGAAATTCTGTGTGATCAGGCAAACTGACATATAAAAGATAAAGAATGACATCTTCACCTTCTCCCTTATTTTTTTCTGGCCTTCAGTAATTAGTCATGGAAAGAGAGAAAAAAATATAAAGGAAAACTTCTCAAAATATAAATCTATATTTTATGCCAGGTTGAATAGTTTGTTGTAACAGTCCATTTATCCTCCCATAATCACAACATATATAGAAGGGCAGTGGTTCAGTGGCTTAATGATGCTGGAGATGATATTGGTCCAGTGATTCGAGTCTTACTACTACAGGGCAGGTCGGACTCCTGTCGCTTGCCTCAGTTTCTGCCCACCTAGCAGTTCAAGATCATGTTATATAAAAAACTTTGGTGGGGAGACAAGCCAGTGCTTAATATGGATGGTTAGAATCCTGCTGATGCTAGACCTTCCTGGTTGCAATGCCCATTTGTGAGGCAGCTTTTCTGGAGGGAGAAGGCCCAGATGATGGTGCAGGAAAGTTTCTTGTTCTTCTTTCTGGTATGGAGCTAGATCGCCCCCTCTGGCATAATTTGGAAAGCGCCCAAGCATGAACCAACAGTCTCAAGCAGCCAAACTACTGTTCTGTATTAACACAGTAGTCTCCTGGCTAATGTAACATTGCCATAGGATAAATAAAAATAAACAACACGTATCAGCCCAGTGGGGAAACCAAGATGGCTTAATAACAAGAGTATTGTAATTGCAGCAGGTATAAATGCAGTACATAAATAAAATGAATTAGAAATCTAAAGAAACCAGGGTGTGATCAAAACCACTATCAGTCTGGAACACACAAATGTGAAAGTAAATGGTTTTCAGAACAATAACAATAACTAGGCATGTAATAAAAGGAGAATCTGGGTTTCTGTTTTATAACTAGTACCTTTCTATGTGTCGTCTATCTTGTCATCTTCTGGTGTATCAAAAAAATGGTGAACTGGAATAATGGGAAAAGATGATTTGGATTCTTCTACAATGTGTATTTTAGGAGGTCTGGGTGGAGGGGTTGTGGCTTGATTTTTATATTTTCTCATCATATAGTACTTGTCTTCTGTAATCTCTTCTACAATTGACTTTATTGGGAAATGTGCAGTATCTTCTGGATATTCTCTCAGCAATTGGAAAGACATATTTAAACAATGCACAGAAACTTCCCAAATTTCTGTGGGATTATTGAGATTGCTGATTAACAAATAAGAATCGTTGATTTCCTCTTCAAGCTGCAGACAGGGAATGCCAGCCAAAATATCATCCCGGGTGGAAAGATCCCTTATGCCAACTGTGACATTTAACGGAAGGTGGAAATTGTTGCAAAGCTCTGAAAGATCATATTGATTCCTGTCATGCACTATTTCACTGAAGCCTCCTTCCATGAACATTGGAAGAAGAATGGTCTTATTGACTTTCTTTGCCAAGATAATTTGTTCACAAGGTAATGCAGACTGCACACACTTCCTTCCACATTCAACAACTTGGCTTTTCTGGTACTTGGGAATCAAAAACTCATCTCCAACAGAAACAGAGCACATCTCTTCATGAGGACAGTCAAAAGCTTTGGTAGCAACAACATGAAGCTTTTCCTTCGTGTTCCTTGCTATTTCCAGGTCATAGGCAGTTGGGAATTTGCGAGGTTTTCTTTTGAATTTACCTTTGTAGCTCGCAGGAATTAAAAAATATCTTTTAGAGGAATTATTCTTGATTTCAGATGCTAAGATTCTTCCAGCCTGATACCTTTTGTAAATTACTATTTCTCTACCAGAACACAGAAAATTATAAGAATGCTTGTTTAAAATGGAATCTTCAATTACGGCAACAACAAAAGGGGATCCGGTCCCTGCCTTTTCTAATACATCTTTCACTGATAATGGCTGGAGAAAAGTATGAATATTGTAATGGTCAGTGACGTCTTCAACTTCAACATCTAAGTCAGAATGGAAATGAACGATTTCTTTTTGAACTGGAAAAGAAAAAAAGAAACAAAGTTCTGGTCAATTGTCAATGATATAATGGTGCTAATTACCCAACAGCCTTTTTATATAAAAATTAAACATTTTTCTATGCATATCATTGGTTATTAAATGGGGAGTTGCTTAAAATAATGGGATTATGTGAACTTTTTGTAAATTTCTTTGATGTGTTAGAAAACAGAAAAGTAACTGAAGCATATATTAGAAGATGCAGGTATACAACATAACTATTTTATCTGAAAATATATATGTAAAGCTTGATCCTGATATTCAATTAGGAGAAAGCTTTAAAATGCTAACTCTAAATCTAGAATCATGCTCATTTCTGTAATACATTTGGATATCCTTAAGGAAACTTCCTCTCCCTTTGCTGTCTTTTTCTTGTTGCTGTGTAGGTTATGTGGTAGGATAAGTTGCTATAAACCATGTCACATTGCATTATTATAAAGCAGTCTACAGCATTGCTTTTGCAGAGAAGCTGTGAAATATTGAGGGAAATGATCAAGGAAAGGTGCAATCAGGTGAACCTCTCACCTCCATAAAAGTCATCAGAAAAGGCAGGCAGCTGCATAATAAGTTTTATTTGGGCAATTCCATATTGCAGCCTAAGTTGTTAGTCTCACTGGCAACTCCTGGCTGTTTCTTAAGCCAACTTCAGACATTCCAGTCTGACTTGTAGTGAGATAGCCATGAGCCCACACTGGAGCTCAGTGTAGATTATGGCCACCACAAGCCCTATATGATCATTCCCAGTTTCTTGTCTTTCCATCCATGCAGGAAAAGCAAAATTTGCTCACTGGTTCCTGTGAACCATCTCCCAATGCCTGTTTTTTTTTTTTTTTTCCTTTTAGGTGCTGTTCCCTTCTCACTGGTTTCCATGACTTTCTTTTCCTTTCCTTTCCTTTCCTTTCCTTTCCTTTCCTTTCCTTTCCTTTCCTTTCCTTTCCTTTCCTTTCCTTTCCTTTCCTTTCCTAGATGTTTGCATGCATGGAAGCCTTCATATACCCCTTCCATATATTTCCTTTGATATAAAGGTGCATCCTTCCTTTTTTTCTGCCCCCCCCCCTTGTGGTACCATAATTGCTCTGATGCGACAGTAGTCACAACAATAGGGAAGAAGTTGTTCTTTTCCTCCCATCTCCTTCGGTTGGAAGAACCATTGGAAATATCAAGGAAGAATGTCTCTGCTTAATAGAAATAAAGTTGTAATATAAAGATATTTTTAAGAATAAAGGAAAGGGGAAGAAATCTCTACAGCAGTAGAATAAAGGGCTAGAAAAGCAAGGGGAAAATGCCTCACCTGTCCAGAAACTATAAGGAAGGTGACCATTGGGAGATAAAAGAACTGAGGGATATATGAGCTTCTAGGACTGAATGGGCCAGTATTGAACCAGGTAAAAGATTATTGGAGGTAAAATACCAGCAACTGTTGATCAGCAGAGAACACAACAGCCTAGCAACCCAGCTGCCTATAACAATGGCCAGCCACAGTAAGGGGGAAGCTATGCTAGGGACTGCAGCCAGTCAGAGCTGAAGCTGCTACTAGGATGGACAAAGAGCTGTAGTCATCTGTTTTGAAGGGCTTAAAAAGTCTTGAGTCAGAAAACATCAGTTTCAATGGAAGCTGAAAAACCCAGCCATGGGATGCAATTGCAGTAGACTAGGTATGGAAGGAAGATGACATCATCTGTTTGTGTACTCAGGAAAACATGAGTGGCCCATACTGGCAACAGGCCAGGCAAAAAGTCTGGATCAGCTGATAGAATGATTAAGCTGGAATTAAGTTTGTTGTCTGTTAAGAATGTCAGTATTTCTTAAATTTAACAGTGAGGACAGATCTTCTGAAAGTAAGCTATACAAATATGTACTATCATAGGGGAATAATAAAGTAATAAATAGTACTAAGAAACCTATCGATAATTCTAAGTCATCTAGCGCAGGGGTCCCCAACCCTCGGTCTGTGGACCGATACTGGGCTGCAACATGCTAGCAACTGGTCCGCACAAACAAGAAAAGCCTGATCTGTGGGATGCAAGCAGCACACAAAACCACGCATGCTCCGGTCTGTGGAAAAACCTTTCTCCACAGAACTGGTCCCTGGTGCCCCAAATTTTGGAGACCTCTGATCTAGCGCATCTCACATATTCTGTATGCATAGCCTAACAGAAAATAGTTAGACGTAGGCAAGTAATTGACCTTTGCTTATAAAATTGCAGTAACGTTTGCTTATAAAACTTGCTGTTTTATGAAGATGAAAGCTCCTTTCATGTATTTCTGGTTTCATGTTCACAGCCACTGCATAATCAAGGATAATGATAATGATGATGGTGGCAATGATTTTCTTGCTTCTGGCCTTTCATGTAAAATATACAGCTACCTCTGGCGATACAATATTTTTAGAATGACCACTTCAATAGCCCTCTCTCCTCCAAAACTCACTGCTAAGGATACAACCGTGAGAGGAAAAGTTGCAAAGAGGAACAGAAAACCCATAAAGGGACAAGCACCAGGGAAAAATCAGAGAGGCCTCTGAAGATACAAAACTCTCACTTAAAAGTTTATTTGGCACCAAGAGTCCAACAGTTCAATCCTGAATTACATATTCTCTTCATTATTGTAACATATTCTAATAATTTACAAATAATTTACTAGTAATAATTTAATAATAATTTACAATTTGCACAGCAAAGAACATTCTTCCTGCGTCAACTCAGAAGGCTCAGGTTGCCCAAGGATCTGCTGATATGGTTCTACAGAGGAATTATTTGGTCTGTCACTTGGATCTCAGTAACTGTCTGGTTTGGCACAGCAACCAAACAGGACAGACACAAACTTTAGTGGGCTAGTTAAGACTGCAGAAAAAGCGTTAGCATTTCTGTTGAGGATTGGCAACGGGGTTGGGTTGGGGGCATGTTTGGTTTGTATTTCCCCCATCTGCTGGGTGGTTGCAGCAGGTTTTGGTCACTTCACATGACCCTGGGACACTGTGACCGTCATAAATATGAATCAGTTGCCAAGCATCTGAATGTAAATCACAAGACCCTGGAGATGCTGCAACATTCCAGCTGATCGGTGCTTCTTCTGGGCTCAGCAGAAGCATCAGAATCAGTGCTACTTTCCAGCTGATTGGTGCTTCTTCAGGGCTCAGCAGAAGCACCAGGATCAGCGCTGAGTTCCAGCTGGAGTCTGGCGCTGATCCTGGTGCTTCCGCTGAACCCTGACAGCCCTGCAGCTCCAGCCATCTCTCGCTCAGGCTTGTGCAGTGCTGCCACCGGTTCAGCTCATTCCCTTCCCCTGCTATCACTTTTCTAGGATGGTCGCGTACCACCTGCCAGGTGCCAATGTACCACAGGTGGTACCTGTACCACTGGTTGAAAAGCCCTGTCCTAGCATACCTTGAAGGAATCAACATCCCAGCTCAGGTAGAGAAAGCCAGGTTAAAATATGCATAGGATTGACAGGCTAAGCAATTCTTTGGAATCAGCCAGCCACATTAGCATGACTTTTTCATGAATGCATCTCCAGGTATTGAGTGCAGACCAAGAAGGTTTTTTCCTGTACATGTCTAGCAACGGTGCAGGTCTGTTTTCAGATGCACACTTATTTCAATTGATCAGGTCAAAGCCAGCTTTATTACTAAATACAATGCAACACTTTGATCACTTATTTATGTCTCTTCTACATGTCAGTTCCTGAATTATACTATATCTGATCCTTATTTGCTACTTGTCCATATATTAGGCAATCCTTGTAGAAGGAAGACTCCAACACTACACATGCATGACCTGGAACAGGCTCAAAGGCTGGGAAAGCTGGGAGGCAAGTTCAGTGGCAATGAGTTCTCTTAGGAGAACTAAAACAACAGGTATGGGACAGATAGGTAGATTAAGTCTATGGGGTCACTTGGAATTAGAAACAGCTTGGTGGCACATAATTATCACTTGATCACATGTTATTATAGAAATCCTACAACTCTGAGGTTTTTGTCCTCATGGAGGGAGAAACGTGTGGTCAAATTAAGGGAGAGAGAGCCAGAAAGGCTGAAGAGAAAAACTAAGAATCCTCCAATCAGAAGGAAGCAGAACAAAGAGGAAGAGAAAAACAGAGAGAAAGAACCTTGTTGTTATCTTTTCCCAAAGCGGTAAAAAAGATTTACCAAAGTGGATGCATCTCAGATCATTCCAGCAGAAAATTACATCTCCGGAATAATGGCAACTTTTAAACTATACCTATTTCATTTTCCGTCTGTCCTAAATGTGGGGACGAAAAGCACACGCTACCAGCACATTCATGCAGCCCATAGTGTCACTAGCCAAAAAAAGGTTATTTCAAATCTTAGGATAAAACATGGCATGAGACTGAATTACAAATAGACTAGAGCTAAATCATTTACTCTTCAGTTTTATTAACCTGTTCAAATGATCGAGTTTCTATCTTTTTGCCTTTGAAACACTTTGGCGTTTCTGATTTATTAACTTACATTTCATTACAGCGTGGACTTCATATATAGCTTCCAGAATTACACAGCTTCCAAAACTCTTAGGCGGCAACTCAGGAGATTGTCCAGCATCACCAGTATTAAGGAACAGAACTTCACGTGTGCGGCTCTTTGGGATTTTCCATTGGGCAATCTCTTCCAGGGTGTATATTCGGTCATCTTGACATTCATAGAAATCTCCTTCTTGAGAACGTGGCAAAAGAAAGGCATGTACCTGGCCATCCCTTTTTATTTCACAATTCACGGTAAGGGTCTCATTGTGATCTTCTACAGACATAAATACAATTTTCTCCCCCTGTTTGATGGTCAGGTTTTCTACCTGGATATCCTTAGAGCAACAGAAGCATGGTTGTTCCTGCTGTGTTGGCCCAATCCAGACTTTGTTCACAATTTCTTCAACATTGATGTATGGGGTTTTATCAGCCATTACCCTGCAAAGCCCTTCAAAGGCAATTTTCAAATTGGAAAACAGGTGTTAACTTTATGCAAACATCAAACATTACTGAACATTCATTTTATATTTACAGATGCATGAGCTCAGGAAATTTCTATTAAATTAGAAGAAGATGGCAATGTTTTTGTAAAAACAAAGAAAATGTACATATATGTACTGTAGATTTACATGTGGGTGCATGGGTATGCACATTTGAGCATGCTGTAAAATTATCTATTATGGTGACACTTGCTCATTTTTATTTGCCAAATTAAAAATTGAAATGTTATCTCCCAAATATTTAAGCTACTTCATTTGCAAAATATTGAACCATGTGACTTTTGAACATGAATGTATACAAGTAACAATTCATCTGTGATTTAGAGACAAAGTTCCACCTTTGCTTTTTTTTCTAAGATTTTTGAAATCCCACCTTTATGTCATATGCAACTCAAGGCAGTGAATACAATCTAGTTAATATTCCTTCCTCTTCCGATTGTCTCTACAACAATAATAACGATAACAACAACTCTGTTAAGTGAGTTGAGTTAAAAGAGAGGGACTGATGTGAAGTTACCCTGCTACTTTTTTTATGCCTAAGGCAAGACTAGAACTTACATTCTCCTGGTTTCTAGGTTAGCTACTTTATCAAATTGGCTCTTAAATAACTTCAAGGAATAACGCCAATTATAAAGAGGTCTGAGGCCAGTTGTGAGTAAGGCTAAAGCTACAGATGCAGCCCACAATGGGCAGGACCACACTTTCCATGTTGCTGTTTCTGATCCATCTCCCTTTTTTAGGACTATTTAGCAAGCTTCTTAAACACTGCCTTATAGAAAATGCAGACATACAATACTATTAATAGCTCTCTGTTCAACTTGCTTTATATTGTTCTATTCTATTCTAACTTTTGAGTGGCTAGAAAGAATTCTTTCTCCAGGAAGAGGTAAAGATCAGAGTTTGCTCTCTCTGAGGAAAGAGATAGCAGGGAATCATAGTTGGAGCTTTTGGCCAGGATTTTGGAACAAGAAACTACAGGTAGTCCTGACTTATGAATGTAATTGAGCCCGGAAATTTAGTTGTGGTTGTAAGTTGTGGTAACATGTGACAGGATTCAAAGTTACAAAGTTTTTTATGAGGGTCGTTAAGCAAACCCATTTTCCCCAATGGGCATTTTTTGCTGGAAACTGGAAGTAAATGCTGAAAAATAATAATAATCACAAATTTCTGTCATGTGATCACAGGACACTGCAAACAACCATAACAGTGATCCTAGTTGCCAGGTGCCCAAATATGACCCTGTGATTGTGTGTGTGTGTGGCCATCATAACTATGAAAATGGGACTTAGATAACTCTGGAGAGGTCTGTTGTAAAACTGAATGGTTGTTAAATAGCTGGTCATAAGGACTACCTGTATTGTGATGAATGGTGACAGTAGTGAGTGGCAGCTATACAAATGAGTTTTGTACCTAGGAATGGCAGGATTTGGGTCATCTAGTTCTAATTACAGCTGTGGAATATTAAGAAGCAAAAAGTTCTGCAAATGAAATCCCTGAAAAGTGTTTTTATTTCCATCTTAATCAGATCCACTGAAACTATTTTATTAGAACAAGGGGATGGAGGGATAGAGGGAAAAGCACCTATTTATGTTTGGAAAATGTTTTCTTTGTTTCCTTTTCTTTTTTTCCTTAGAGCAGGGGTTTCCAACCTTGGCAACTTTAAGACTTATGGATTTCAATACCCAGAATTCCCCAGCCAGCATGCTGCCCTAGAAGAAGGTTTAGCGCAGACATGTCAAACTCGTGACGTCATATGACGTCGCACAATGTATCGGGATGGTTTTGCCATTGCGTGGCTTCTGGATGATGCATCCGGCCCACGGGCCAGCAGTTTGACACCCCTGGTTTAGTGAGAAATTTGGAGAACCAGGAAATGAAAATTAATTTTGGTTGTGTGGTTGAATTATAACTTTTGATATCATAGCATTTATGGAGGCAATTGTATGCTGTTGTAAATACATTGCTATCTCTAAAGACCTGGTTTTTCTCTATAAAATGTAATGATGTAAAATGTTGGTGTTGACTTGGGACTTAGGATTATCATTATTATTATTATTATTTGATCCATAATTGTTTATCTTTTAGATAAGGCTGACTGCTATATATCACAGAGATTAATTTAGGAGAAAAAGATGGGACACCTGGAAAATAACTACTTCAAAACTGTTTTATGTTCTTTTTCTTTGCTTACTGACTTTCTTATCAAACAAGAAAAATACTGTACTGTACCTGGAAAATTTAGAGGTAGTGCTACTGTAGTGGACTGTATGCTTGCATCTTCACCTCCTAGATTACTTGCAAGGATTTTTTTAATTTCTAATGCAGCAACTTTAATCACATCACCTGTGGACAAGCAACATTCATGGCCAAGCTTTTCATACATCGAACCTAAGAGATAAGATAAGATAAGATAAGATAAGATATAAGATAAGATAAGATAAGATAAAATAAGATAAGATAAGATAACCTTTACTGTCATTTTTATACTGTGGGCACAATGGCACACATCAAAAATGAAATTTAGTTGCCCGCTCTCAAAGTAAAACACATACATGACACACACCTAAACATACTACGAACAATGTATGTATAGACCCACATCTCTACATATACATAGCAAATAAATATTAAATTTTGTCCATATTGAATATATAATGGAAGAAGGAAGCTTGAGAGTTCGCAAGGTTAATGCTGTATGGAATGAAACTCTGGCTGAATCTGGATGTTCTGCTTCGGATACCACAAAGCCTCCTCCCAGAAGGTAACAAGGAAAACAAGTCGTGAAGAGGATGTGTAGTGTCCCAGATAATCTTACGGACCCTGCTCAAGCAGCACTTCTGTGCTATGGCCTGAAGATAAAGAAATTTTACTGATTTTATTAGCAGTATTAAAATACAGTTCTACACATCCTACTGTTTCATCTTTGAGAAACAATACATTTTCATCTTTAATGCACAATTTAGATATCATCTATTAGTTTGGCTGCAAATATCAAGGTGAGTGAGAACCAATATAATTACTTTAAGACTTGCTAACGTAAATCTTCATCTGCTTCTAAGGAGGCATGGCAGCTTCTGAAAGAAGCAAATATTTCTCTCTCTTCTCTTCTGCAATTCGTCTGGAAACTATTTGTTTAACTTGTTGCTAGAACTTTGTATGTAATTTTGTGAACCATCAGCACTGTTAGCATCTAATATTTTCTAATTGTTTATGGCTAATTGAAAAAAAAAACATTAGCAGTCACTCTACTGTATAGAACAGAACAGGTTTGGCATAGTAATTAAGGCACCAAGCTAGAAACTGGGAGATGTGGGACTTCTGGTTCTGCCCTGTAGTGACACGGCTGAGAGATCATGGGGTTCTGCACCCCACGGCTGATTTTGCCCTGCCAGGGAACCCTAAATGAGTCAAAAGTCACCCTGGAGAGGCAATGAAGAAGAAGGGGCACCTGATGCTTGCGGAATGATGGTGGTCAATCCACTCGTTCTGGGGGAGCTCTCCAACCAGACAGGAGAAAGGCTAGCTGCACATCAGTATCTAGCCCAAGCTACCAGCAGCTGAAGTCCAAGAGCACAAACCAGAATAATGGTGAACTAGGTGAGAACATTGATTTTCTCTCTTCTATTTTATAATTGATTCCCTGGAAAAAATCCTCAAAGTAAGAAATCCTCCAAAAGTAAGAAGGGAGGGGATTATACCCCTACCCTTCCATAGATGGAAGTAGCAAATTAACTTCATGGAGGAAAGAAATACATTGAAATGAAATTAATAATGTTATAGTCTGGATAAATCTGAAAATTAAGAATAAATGTTAAGATTTTACATCTGAAAGAGTTCTGATGATTTTTTTTATAATTGGATTATAAAAAAACATACATAAAAAGATAAGAACTATATAAAATTTGGTTGTTTGGACTTTAAGATTGGCTGGTTTAAAAGGCGAAACACAGAGACTATGGTACCAGTGAAAGATTATCTGAAAGGGGGAGATAAAATGGATGCTGCACACCTTAAAAAGTGGCAGGAAATTACATCTAATATCCTCTTTTGAAGGCCCCAGCCTGGAACATCAGAGATCTGCAGGAGCAATAATTCAAGACAAGGCAAATACTTTACAGGAGGAAATGTATGCAATGCTGCGACAGATTCAGATGACAATAATTTCAAATCATGATGAGATTAAAAACAACTTTGATGGCATAAACGAGCACATTTCCAACTTAAACTTACAAGTAAAAATTTCTCAGAAAATGATGAAAAAGAATGAATAAATAGACCAGATAGCAGAATATAAATCAGAGGTCAGTGACACAAAAAGAGAAACTATAGATGAAGAGCTACAAACTAATACAAAAAAAAAAGAACTTGCAAGGTTTTACCGTAACAATGGAAATGGAAAAGATATTCTATATTTCAGGACCTCAAAATCAACTTGAAGATTGGAAATAAAATCTAACAAAATGGACTATAGAGCAACCAGGACAATCATTAAAGTTTGGGAGACAAAAAATACATGTCTTACCTAACTTGTTTTTTCTATTCCCAACAGCATTCACAAAAATACAGGAAAAACTCCTGGGCAAGTTGAATACACTAATTTGGAAAACTACTTGGCAAAAGAAGAAGCCTAGAATCAGATTTGAGAGATTTGATGCAATCTACTTGAGGGAGTACTATATGATTAAATACTTGTTTGAATATGGTTAAAAGAATAGATAAATTATGGATATAAAGAGGTCTATACTAAGAGAGATAAGACATAAAAGTAGTATAGTAATTTTTATAATATATGAAATGTGAAAATATTGGGATGATGTATATGAATGAAAAGGTTGGATATTTAAAGGTTATTAACTTTGAGAAAACTATGACTGATAAGAATGGTTTGAATACAGAGGGGAAATTAAGTTTAAATAAGAATTTTGAAAAGTGGACATATAGTAATTTAATAAATACAACTGAAATATATACTGACCAAAAAACATGCTATGTACTGATTTTACTGTTATTTGTATAAATACAAGAAAAAGGTTTATATTTAACTTTACATGTATTTAAGAATGATATTTGCTAAATGTTGATAAAAGAACAATACCATTGGATGAAGAGAAGATCAACGAAATATATCACTGATTAACATATTGATTATGGAATTATAGAAATTAATTATTATTGATTGTTTTTTAAACATATGAACCCAGACAGCACACTGTTTACTAAGTACTAAAGAATGTTATTGTAAAAAGTTAATAAAATGTATTTTTAAAAAAGAAACTGGGAGATGTGAATTCTAGTCCTGCCTTAGACATGAACCCAGCTAAGTGATCTTGGGCCAATCACTCTCTTTCAGCCCCATAAAGGAGGCAATGGCAATTTCTGAGAATGCTGCCAAGAAAACTGCAGGGACTTGTGCAGGCAGTTGGCGGGAGCCAACATTGACTCAAAGGCACCAAAAACTATAGGCCATTTTAAAAGAAGTACCCAAATAAGAGGATATTTTTAGAAACAACGAAATAATCTGAGTGGTTTGTAATTGAAACAATTCTAATATTGCTTACAAATGGAGCTTCAATTGATTTCAAGATTGCTTCCCCCCCATCTCAAATAACACAGCACTTTTCTATCTCAATTTTTTTTGTTAATTCTATATATTTTTAGAGATCTTGGTATTTCAATCTGAATACATGGTTCTCGACGTATCCACCTTTCTCAGGGGAAACATGCCCCTGTTTAACAACCTTACATCAGGAGAAAATTCCGTTGTCTATAAAACTGTTATTTTGTATATTTTTAAAAGGAATGCATTTATAACGTGGGGAATACAAATTCATTTCCTTGAAATCGATTGGCATATAACCTCCTTAGCTTATTCAGTATCAACATATATTTGATTCCTTGGAGGAGAGAGTTTCAGTAAATTAAAGTTCTTTAAAGTTATATTTATGCTTAAACAGATCACCTTATTTATTCATTTCTTCAGTACTGATTATGAAATAATGACCAGGGGAGAGAAAAATGAGAAATATTTTATGTGTAGCTGGCAACAAATGATGCCTCTTGAAAGATTTGTTGTACAGCTTTATATTGAGCATAGTTTGATGTAACAAAACCTGAATAGATTTGGGTATTCAGCATTTGAATGAATCAAATGGTATCAGGTATTTTGGCAGTGTGAAACAGTTGGGAAATCAGTACATGCTTCTTGGGATGCAAAAATTTGCAGTGGCAGAAAAAAACAAAGTCTTGGTACTTCATAGCGGCATTCCAGATCTTTGCAACCGAGTTATGAGGGCCTGTTTGATTACAATTACTAAAATAACTATGGAAACTATGGTACATCTAGTCCTCATTTAGTGCCCAGAAGTGTACTGGTGATTCAGTTGTTAAACCAAGCAGACACTAAGTGGAAAAATCCTGTGACCACAACTGTGCTTAAGATTTTACTTCAGCTATTTATTTGTGTTATTTGTTTGTTTGTTTGTTTGTTTATAGCAGGGGTCACCAAACTTGGCCACTTTAAGACTTGTGGACTTCAGCTCCCAGAATTCCCCAGGATTCCTGAAGAATTCTGGGAACTGAAGTCCATAAATCTTAAAGTGGCCAAATTTGGAGATGCCTGATTTATAGCATCAGAAGGATATGAGTCCCTAACAGCCAGGTGATCCTAAACAAACCAGAATGTGACTTGTGAGGAAGCTGGGTAAAAGGACAAATCTTACAGCTATTTTTTCACCACCTCCTTGTTCTTTAGAATACTCACCCGAGGCTGAGGTAATTAGCAAAAGTGTTTATATTTGCATCCATTGGAGAGGAAGGGATGGCAAGAGAGTAAGCAGGCACACTATGGGGAATACATATCAAAAACAATGCACTTGGCCAGCTGTTTGCCTAACATCCTTACAGCTCCAAGCTTGCCAGAGGGTTCTAATCAACTCATTAAGGTCACAAAACTGAGCATGTTAACTTCCAATTAACACTTTTTAGGGAAGCGGAGAAAAGCAACTTAGGAAGAGGCAGCTTATTTAGGCAAGATTTCTGCTCTGCAAAGGGGGGAAGGAAAAAATGGGTCAAGCAGAGGATAATGTGTACTAACTGACTGTAATGGTAAGTATGTGACAAAGAGAGAGAAAGAGAAGCTACAAAGGTTATAAATGTGGGCTCTGGTAGCAAAGTTACTTTATCACCATCGCAATTGCTAATGGTCACTGTCTGAGGCAGTTGCTAAATAGGAGGACTCTAATACAAGGCTTTTCAACCAGTGGTATGGGTACCACCTGTGGTACATTGGCACCTGGCAGGTGGTACGACCATCCTAGAAAAGTGGTAGTGGGGGAGGGGAAGGAGCTGAACCGGTGGCAACACCTCACAAGCCTGAGCGAGAGATGACT